TCTCTCTCTCTCTCTCTTCTTCTCTCTCTCTCTCTCTCTCTCTCTCTCTCTCTCTCTCTCTCTCTGCTCGCTCTCTATCTCTCCCCCGTTCGTCGACAGCTATCGATAATAGTGTATATACAAAGTGTTTCCTCGAGTTTCCTTGGATTAGGATAGATCGAACGAAAGAGCGTCCTGAGAAGTGTTCTGGATGGGAATCGCGGGAGGATATAGATGATCTTGTTAAAAACCGTAGCCAGCGGAGTTCCAAGACTCTCGGGAAGAAAGACAGAGTGTGGGAGAGAACTGGCTGCGGGATGATCGTTATCAGGGTACGGAAGCCGGACTCTGGACGCCGTCTCTCGAATAGAGCTTCGGAGACGACGGTCTTCTCTCTTTTCCGTCCGTTGCCGCCGGACCAGCGGCACCGAGAACGAGGACGTTGCGCAGGACGTCGGGACGCTGCGCGGCAGCGTTGTCGTTGCTGATGGATTGATGAGCACTCGTGGCGAGGTATTAGTTGGCCACGAGCAGGTGCTGATACTGACTGGCCGGATACGGCGCGACCGAGCCGAGGCCGAAGTTGTTGAGGCCCTCGACCAGGGCGCTCTTGTCCTGTTGCTGGGCCGCTGCGGCGGCGGCGGCCGCCGCGCCGGCGTTCACGTTACCGTTGGCCGTCGCGGAGCCGATCGGGCCGAGGTTGCTACCGGCGCTGCCGGCGTTCTGCGAGCTGGTGCCGGCGTTCACGCTACCGCCGGTGCCGGCATTGGTGCCGTTCACGGCGCCGCCGTAGAACTGGTGGCCGGCCAGCGCGGTCGGATCCAAGTACGACGACGGGAACTTGGCGCTAGCGTAAAGATCGGTCGCCGGCAGGTAGCCGCCGTGGCTCGACGAGTCGAAGATGTTGCGATGCGGAAACTGCGCGTGATACGCTGCCGCCGCGGCCGCGGCCGGGCCGTGCTGGAAAAAGTACGCGCTTGGATCCGTGTGCTGCTGCCCGGCGGCGCCAGCGACTATGCTACCGGGCGACAAGCTGCGGCTACGCGGCGAACTCTGTGAGACCGGCAGCCCTGCACCAGCGGTCGCCTGTTGCTGCTGTTGCTGCTGCTGCTGCTGCGGCTGCGGCTGCTGTTGCTGCTGCTGCTGCTGCTGCTGCTGCTGCGGCTGCTGGTGCTGCTGCTGGTGGTGATGATGATGGTGAATCTGCTGCTGCATCGCTGCGCGCTGCTTTATATAGTTCGAGAACTCGGTGGGCGACATCCTGAAACCGAGCGGTACCGTGCGGTTCATCAGTGGTTGTGCGTGTGTGCGAGATCCGGGGGTTTCGTGGTGGATCGTCTCGCGGTCTCTGGTTAGTGCGCGCGCATTATCGTGCGTGTTTCGACGGGTTAATGTTAATCCTCGTATACGCGGGCTAAGGTTAATCCTTGTTACTGGTAATGTGCGACGGTCTCGCTATGTGTTTGCTCTATCTAGCTGCAGGCGCGCATGCTCGATTGCTTCTATGCTTGTTTGTGATAATGATTCTATATTCACCCTAAAGGCGAGATCCCACTGTTCAATGTGTCTTTTGTACCGCGGGAATTATAGCGTTCATTTTAATAAAGCTGAATAGGTGAGAGTGTACCTGAGACAATTTCAACAAGCAGCATTCCACGAATATACACATAGATTATGTTGCCTAAGAGTTTCAAGGAGCGTAACATCGAAATTTTATCTACGAATCGGCTGAATTTTCTCAAAAACAAATTAGTTGAACAAATGCGATTGTGAAATGATCAAAATAAGCTTAATAATTCGTGATTGTTAAATAATTAGTTCAATTTTCTACACAATCATCCTCTCAATGCAACTCTCCTCGAGTAACAATAATATCCAATCGCTCGCATACGATAAATTTTCATCGCAATAATTATTTTCATATCGTTATCACGAAACAAACAATTATTTCCGTTGCAATCTTCGCCAAGCTCGCAATAATCATTACATTATTTCGGAAATTAATGCTTATTTGTATTCACGACCGATTGCGCTGATTAATTGTATCAACGAAGCCGTCCGTTTTTATCGATCGATATTTAAAAAGCATAAATAAATAAACTTCATTTCCGACGACGGCGGCAAAATGGAGGCAAGATCGCTCATAGAGACTCTCGTGAGAATTTCAACAACTAACCTCGGATGCAATCGGACGAAATCGAGAGAGCGTGGAATATATCGAGCGGCGATATACTGACCTGTTGGCGCGCTTGCTGCTAGTCTTGAGCTTGGTGCTGCCGAACTTGGTCTGGGCGAAGGTGGCGGTGGTGAAGGTGAGCGGGGCGGTGGTGCGCGGGATGAAGGCCGGCACGGGGCTGGGCGAGCCCTTGAACGAGCTGGTGATGGGCGTGGGCGACGGCGCCGAGGACGAGCCGGACCCGTGGCCGTTCTGCTGATTGTTGGACGAGCCGTTGCTGGCGTTGCTGCCGAGCGAGCTCGAGAACGGCGAGGTGGACTTGGGGCTGAGGCTGAGACCGCTCAGGGACGTGCTCACGGCCTCGATCGGCCTGAAGCACTGCGCCTCCGGGTTGAAGGTCTTGGTGACCTCGCGATCGGCCGAGGTCTCGTCGTGCGGATCGCCGGTCTCCGAGTAGAGAATCTTCACGGCGTTCAGCTCGCCGATGCGGTAGCTCACCTCACCGGGATCCACCCAGACGGCGAGCTCGGCCGGCAGGTTCTCCAGGATGTCCTGGATCGGCACGCCGCTCTCCTTCGCGGCGCGCTCCAGCACCGGATCCACCGGGTCGCCGGTCTTCAGACATCGGAACGCCGAGCCCTTGAACGGCTTCTCCGGGTACCAGTGACCCTTGAACTTGTCCTTCAGCGCCTTCTCGAGCTCCTCGCCGAAGATGTTGACCCGTCTGCGCGGCAGTTTGTTGTAGAGATACGATATCACGAAGTTAAGCGCCACCTGCACCTCGATATGCATCTTGGCCTTCGGTGGGAAAATCTTCGGGCTGTTGTCGTCGCACGTAGCGGCCGCACCGGGATAGCACCGAGGACGTCCGCACGATCGGCCGTCTTGCCACGGGCGGGGGATTGTTCCGGATGGTGGTGCACGTCCGATTAACGGAGCTGCCGGACTCGACGGCCGACTCTGCAACGCGCGCGGACTCTCTCGTCTTGCGATTCGGAGTGCGCTCGCGAGTGTGCGGGGATCTGTAATCATAATATTACGAACACCATGTCACACATTTATTCTGATAACAATGCAATCATTTTTCTAATTAACGACAACAATTGCTTTTTGCGATAAAAAATAGTTTTAAGTATCGATTAGGCCGATGCAAGTTATTCGTGCTATGCTATTTGCTATTATTTAACAATAATAGTCCAAGACAAATAATTCAAAATTTCCATCATTAATGGCTGACAAATTCCTCTCCATCGCGCCTCTATTGCAATTCGTATTACGGGTTAAACGCACTTCGAGGTATCTATTCTGCTCCTTCGGCAGACCTTAATTACGGTTCTCGATTCAGAAATGAGTGTGCGCCAAGTTTGCCGACTGGCGAATGGGAATATTATCACGCCGGGGCGGCGCCCGCTCGTATGCATTATCGGAGAACGACAATAGGTCGTCGAGTGCGCGCACTCATCCGAGTTGCACGTAAAGATCGAGGTGTTCCTCGTCGTCGCGGCGAGGCAGGCGAGAAAGGAAAGCGGCGCGTGGGAAGTGCGAAATCACGTCAAAGCAACTCGCCGACTATCTTCGAGAAAAGGGACTTTGCCGCCTCGGCGTTATCGGTTCCTTTCACGAGCACGGCTCGCGCATTGAAATGGAACGCGGCTTCCGGTTACTCGTGCCGCCGTTCCTCGGCCCCGCGCGCTCAGGGAACCGAAACAGAGCCGCTGATCGTTCCTCCTCGTCGTTTCCCTCGGAGAAGAAGCGAGAGATAATGCCTTCTCGGGGCTTGCGTCAGCCCCGACAAAAGGCAGGGCTGCCGAAGACCTCTCAGAAATGATTTCCTTTCATAATTTAACGAAGAATTAGCCGGTATTGTCATTATCGCGTATAATTGGATTCCATTTTCGCGTGTGCAAATTTAATAATAATTAAGAACCCGACATGTGTGCCGCTCTTCTCTCCTTCGCTAATAATAGATAAAATCATGTAATAATGTAAAATATTAATCTCGCAGATTGTTAACGATGTCGCGAATACGCTGGCCAAAATTTCAGGCGCTCCACGACAACAAGTCAATTGAGTTTATGCCGACGGAGAAAAACTGAAATAAAAAGCGTGACGCACGCGTCGCTCGTATGCCCATGTCTGCAAACAGTTTCTATGACGTAAACGAGGGAGAAGCAAGAGAGAGAGAGAGAGAGAGAGAGTGCGGGTCGAGAAGTAATAAAAGGGATTGCTCTTAGAAGCAACGAGATTGCGCGAGCGCCTATCCGCCATTCGCGAGCACCGCCGCAATTGCGGAAGTCGCCCCCCTCCCCGCCCTCTGAATGGCACCGAGAGCGAAAGGTGTTCCTCCTTCTCTCCCGATGCTCTCCCACTATTCTTATTCTCTTCTTCTCTACCTTTTCTCTTCTCTCGCAGTAGAGATTCTTGGGCGTCTACCAAGGGCTTCCCCGCGGACCCGAACTAAGAGTCTCAGAACTCGATTCCGCCTTTTCTGGCTTCTCTTCGTCGACCTCGCAGTATCGCAAGGGAGAAAAGCAAAGCGTGATTTAAGACGGGGAGAAAGAGAAAGAGAGAGAGAGAGAAAAAAAAGAGGAAGAGCGAGAACCACAAAAGAGTTTCCACGACTTTCGGGCCGGTGACCCTCTGAAGAGGAAAATGCGACCTCCTCGCTTCCAGTTTTTCACTTCCTTCTTGCGCGAATTTTATTTTTCAAAGGCTACTCAAAACGTGTACACTAACCAAAGAAGATATACATGCCATTCGACGGAATATCTCTTCATAGACAATTTTCATGTCCCATCGACTGTAATTGATTCAGAAAAATTAAATCACTTATAAACTTGATTGCTCCGGTAAAAAGTTGCGAGCAATTAAAAATCACGTTCCATTTCTTTATCACTTTTATCATGCACGCATGATCTGGAAAACATAATTGCTTAATGGAAAGTGTTGCATGACCGAGTCGTCGATTTGCTCCCCGTTGCGCAACGGTGGGCATCGCGATAAAACATTTCGACGGAGCGAGATAACGGAAATGGGCTTTTCCAACTTTCTTATCGGGAGACATTTCGTGCGTCCTCGTCGCGCCCGGAGTAGCGGGCTCGTTTTTTTCGCGGGGGCGGCTTTACCCCCGGCGCATCTGCGTCTCGTTTTTTTTCTCCCAGGCCGCTTCCTGTACTCGACTTGGTGGCAAGTTTCCACCACCGGTGGTGTGCAGGCTCGAGCCAAGAAGCGGGCGGATATGTAGGTTAAAGCTAGCGGCGGTCTCTACTTCCAATAGTAGTACACGACGGCGAGACGGGGGTGGTCGTAGGTATTGATCCCGCGGCACAGGACTCTGCCGGAAGGTTCTCAAGTTAAAAATACACGGCCTTGCGGCTCGGCGGCCCCAGCGCCTGACCAAGTGCTCGCGAAGTGCCGTAATTTCCGCCACCTTGATTTTCCCGTGATATTTCTCAGCCCGAGATATTTATCCGGTTCAGTCCGGTAGGCTTGACATTGAGGAAGAAAACTATTATTTCTCCATTTCCTATTTCTCTTTCTTTCTTCTCTCTCTCTCTCTCTCTCTCTCTCTATCGGCATCGATTTTAGAAATTTATATTTTAAATAAGATAAATATAATAAAAGGAATTTTTTTACATTTATAATTTCCGTGCAATTTTTATCACAGACCACTACAAAATTATGCTAACTTTATTCTCGTTCGCTAATTATTCACGGGTCGGCAAGTCGTCGAGATCGATTCGCGGCAGGTGTCAAAGTGTCAAAGGGATTTTTTTCAGCCGTTCTCTCTCTCTCTCTGTCTCTCTATCTCTCGTCGAGGGATGCGATCGAGCTCGGGTGCCGGCGCCCTTTGTATTTACGCCGGACTGAATGGAGGTCGCGTGGCAGAAGAGGGTACGGTATGTGGGCCGGAGATAAAGCGTCCTTCGGCGGATGAAGTCAATGGAGCGCGGGGACACCCCCTGATTCTCGATATTCTCCACGTGTGTGCGAACGGTGCGCGGAGCAGTGGCACCGCGCGTCCTTGTCGATATGCCGATGAACGCGCGCGCGCGCCGGCGACACGACGCCGTGACGATCATACGGAGAGACAAAGAAGGAGTGTGCGTGTGTATCCGGCTAATTATTACCCACTACTCGCTCGCATCACGCTTCGCCGAGTCATCGCCGCGCGCGCGAACGCCCGTTTGATCGCGGCCAGACGTCGATCAATGCACTCGGCGAGATACCTACAGCGTAAGACGTGACGTATCGTGGCGCAGCGAAGGCGCTAGTGCGAACAATGTGATTCCCGATGTCATCTTTACCCGTCTCGACGTTAAGACGCTGAGGGAAAAGTAATATATAGTTCATCATGGAATAAATGCGGAGTCTAATGAAATGAGGGAACTTCGCACTTGAGATGACGTGAGAAATTCAATTTCTAGCAAAAGTCTTGCGTTAAATAATTGTTTCTAAAAAACGTTACAAAGTATTAAAACGCGTGTTATTTCAGTCGTTACTTTTATCCCTAAAAATTGAGATTTAAATCATTACTTATTGATTGGAATTATATTTCAGAAGATAACAGGTCTGCGATGAAATAACATAAATGCTACGCAAAATTTTATTTCATCGATAATTCTTTCGTATATTTGCAAACATATATTTATTAAAATTCTTTCACTAACGATTGAATTTTTTGTCTTTAAGCGACCTCTTTTTATTTGATTGCATTCTGTAGATCGATTATATATATATATAATTTAATTAGTTATTTATAGCAAATTATGAGAGTATTAAATAAGCTTACACAGTAATTAAGTAAGCAATATTCCATTTAAAATAATGCCTAATCTTTCTGATACTCTGACCTTTGCATATGTAGATTACGCCAGACGATAGGGGATCGGATGAACTATAATAATAATTTTCCTAGTTGTCATGCGCACCTGGTTCCAAGTGCCCGAGTCGATTATCGTAACGCGAATTATTCTCCCAATTCAAAATTCAACAGAGCGGATTAATTCATCCGTGCGCGCGCTCAGCTCGCGCATATATTCGCTTAATCGATCCCCGAAGAAACAGCAGAGGACTGATTTAATTACGTCGGCCGTGCAAATTGGGTCAAGACGACGCCCAGCCCCGACGACGTCCCGGGGCGTCGCCGCTCGTCCCGGCGACATTGTATCCTTCGGATCGGATGAGAGGCGTTATCGACGAGGCTGTAAGCGAGCGCACGAGAGCGCGAAGAAGAAAAGAAAACACGAAGAGGGCTGGCTATTCGGGAAAGGTATGCGCAAATATAATCCATTCCTCGTAGCGGTGCGAGGATTATCCGATTATCGGACGGATTCTCATCGCGTCGATCATTCCGCTGCGACAATAAACACGGCGCGGCGGGAGGAAACCGTGTGGAATCGGCGTTGCGTAATCGCGCGCCGGTTATACAACGGATTGGCCGAGTCACGTGCGCGTGTCTATCCGCATCCTCAAATTCAACGACTGCTCTACGCCGGATAAAGAAACCCGTCGTTTCGCACGGAACGCTCGAGAGAATTCCGACGATGAGACTTTCATGACGAATCCCGCAGATGAAATAATCACGTCGGCGCGCTGCACAATTCACAGCTTTAGTGCGACATACAGACAGTCGCGGGTTTCAATTAATTCAAGAATCCGCAGATTAAAATGAACAGCCGAGCGAGTGAGTCATTTGTTTGGGCTGCGCAGCTCAAGAATTATCCGCTCCGAAGTCCGCTCACGCGGCATCAATCCCGGGAAGATAATAAAACGTGCACAAATCATCTTCCGCGTTGTCGTGTCGCGAGGCGCGCACGCGCGCGCGATTATCATCGCGCGTCTTCGTGAAAGCTATTTACGAGCGGGGCCGTGTCGTTTCAAGGCGTTTGTTATTGTTGGCCGTTTTTATATCGCGTACCACGTGGAGGAAACAGTCCGATCCGCGAACAGCAAGTCGCGGGGGAATCCTTCGATCGGGAAACCTTTGGAGCGCGGGCAAATCCTCACGCGCGTGTAAGCC